TTCGCTGCTGCGTTTCACCCATAAAATATGCAGTCGGTCCACTTTGCAGTATATCCTGTGAAGCGCTTTGAGATGTCTCAACGACGTGATAAGGCGCAAGGATTATGATTACCTCAACATCTTGTGTGAAGGACTTGCAGCACCTCTGACAATATGGCAAACTCCGTCCAGCATTGCACTGGAGGGTCAGCCTGAACTGATCCTGATGTGAGGTTAGGATCAGTCCAGGCTGACAACCTTGTGACACAGACAAGAGTGCTATTGATTCAACCAAACTGACAACCCAATACAATGGTGTAGTCCTCACCGAACCAGCCAGGTACGGTGTACAGTGAGAGTAGAACACATTGGCCGGATCCAGGGAAAGGACACACAGACTAGTTAGTCCTGTTTCCGTGCCTATCACTATATGTATGTCAGGAGAATTCTTACTTCACCCCCTTCCCCCACTCTGTACAAAATTACTTTCATGAAAAAGTTTTCAAACGAGAATACAAATGGATGTAAAGAGGATGAACCCCAGTGTTGGAGTGAGATTGAGCGAGATTTTTAAAAACTTAAAGGGATTAAGAGATATGGGGATAGGGCGGGAAAATGGAATTAGGTTAGAAAATCAGCCGTGATCTTATTAAATGGCGGGGCACAGGCTCGAGGGGCCGAATAGCCTACTCCTGCTCTTATTTCTTACGTCTTATGAGATGAGCTATCTATAAGTTGAATCCTGTAGCTCAGGGATTAGAGCATTCGCTTTGCAAGAGAGAGATCTGGGTTCGATTCCCGGCAGGGTGAAACCTTGGGCCAGTTTCTTTACTCCACACGCCTGATAATAATCCCTCAAGAAAAAAAAATAATAAGTTGGTCATTTCAATCCACGACTATTTGTGGGACACTGCTGTGCGCAATTGACTGCCGCATTTCGCCCACAAATATCAATTCACTTTACAGTCTATTCTGTGAAGCGCTTTGAGACGTCGAGAAGACGTGCAAAGCGCTATATCAAATGTAAGGATTATTATTATTATAAGAAACACAGTAATCCACAGCTAGAAGGAGGCCATTCGGCCGATTGAGTCCGCACAAGCTCATAGTGTGGATATACAAGGTTCTAAATATTACTGAGCAAGTAAATCCCGGTTATTAGTTGATTGGCAGATCACTTTTTGCAGGCAATAATCCTTTTTAAAGAAAAATTGGTCACTCAGTTCATGAGTGTTTGTGGGACACTGCTGTATGCAATTGGCTACTGCATTCCTCCCACAAATATAGTCAATTCACTGCAGTATATTCTGTGAAGTTCTTTGAGACGTCTCAATGATGTGATAAGGATTGCAAGGATGATTATTGTTATTACATAAATACAAGTTGTTACTGGAACAAACTACTATTTATTCTTAATATTATTATTTATAGAGCACCCTTCGTGGAGCCAAATGGCTTGAAGCACCAAACAATGATAGGATTCAAGGCTGTGAACATCAACTTCAGAAGTTTTTCTTCACACAGATGGTAATTAATGAGTGGAACAGGGATAATGGGAGAATTACAGGCTGGGAATTTTAGAAGATTGAGATCAAATGGTCCATATTTCTTATCTGCCCACTAATGGGATTTGCACTCCTAACCAGGAAGGAAAGGTTTGGAAAAAAAGCCTGAAATTGTGACAGAATTTCTGTTCTGAGGCTTAGGTATCACCAGGGGCCCCGAATCATACCTGGTCTTTGCCATAAAATTATTTAGTCTAAAAGGTACAACTACACAGTTACCACACTTTACAGTAGATCCTGTGAAGACAATTCAACAATGTGACATTGTGACATTGAAGACAATGTCTGCATACAATAAAGATTATAAAGAATTTTCCACAACAACTTGCACTTATTGAGCACCCTCCACGCAGGGCAGCGTCTCAGAGCGCTTAACAGTGGAGGAGCCTGACTCCAAGTCAGGGATTGGGGTGGGGGGGAGAGATGGCCATAAGTCTGGTCAAAGAGGAAGGTTTTCAGGTAGGACTTGAAAAAGGGGAGAGGGGGAGCAAAGCGGATGGTTTGAGGGAGAGTTCCAGAGTTTTGGGGCGTAGTGACTGAAAGCGCGACCTCCAATGGTGGGGTGGAGGGTGTGAGGGTCGAGCAGGAGGCTGGTGCCAGTCAAGTGGAAGCGCCGGATGGTGGATTGGGGAGTGAGGAGTGAGGAGGTTGGAGAGGTCGGGAGGTGCCAGTGAATCAGTGGATTTGAACACGAGTGTGATTTGAACACAGACAGCGCCTTTCACATCGGGAGGGCGTCCCACACACTGGGATTTGGGATAAGGAGGGGTGGAGAGCATGGAAAGTAGATATAGAAGACTGACCAAAGATGTGGTCGAAGAGGACGGTCTTGAGATGGACCTTGAAGGAGGCAAGAGACTGTGGGATGGAGTTCCAAAGGCTGGGGCTGAAAGGCAGAATTGCTCAACAGTTTGGGGAGACCTTAAATCTTTAAGACAAAATAATCTCAGGGGCTAAGATTGGGTGGAATTTGGTGCATTGCGGTCAAAACACCAAATCTCTCGAATCATTGAGTTGAAGAGGTTGGCTCCATCATTCCAGGAAACTGGCCATCATAATGGAGCGTGGAGTAAGGAAACTTGCCTAAGGTTTCGCCCCGCCCGGGAATCAAACCCGGGCTCTCTCGCTTACAATGAGTGCTCTAACCACTAAGCTACAGGATTCCAGTGCATTAGTTCCCCTCACACACAAAACCAACACCACATACACATTTGTTAAATAATTACAGAAAGAGAAATCAACATTCAAATTCAGAGCAGCACGTGCGGTCATTTGAAATGAAATGAAACCAGTATGAATGAGGCACTTTCTTTTATTAAGCTGTTTCCCTTTAGTTCAAGGGTAAGAGTTGCCCTCGAGGGTAAAACTTTAAAGAGTGAGTTTACACCCAAGCTTGGAAGGAGACAGAGCGACAGTGGGGAGATGGTATCGAGATATTTTCCGATACCTTATGCATTTGAAACAGCACCTTATCACCCAAAAGCACCTCAAAGCACTTCAGATTTTTTTCTGTGAAGTGTAGTGTACGTAACGGCCAATGGACAGACAATCTTCACAACGGTAAAGGGAAAAAATAGGAATTTTTTTTTACTTTACAAAGAGAGTTGTTCAGATGTAGAATATTGCCCTGTGGCGATCTCTGAGGTCTAGTTCCTGAGCCAGTGTTACAGGGCACTGCTGATGACAGCACAGCTAGTTCCAGTAGTTACCCCAACACACTTTCTGGGGTCCCCCGACTCTTGCCACCCTGCACCTAATACCCCATCTAGCACTGCGCTAGAATTAGATAAGCAGAACGCATCACTCCAGGAAGAGAGCACATTCCATTTTAATAAACATCGCTGGAATTTCCACTTGGATCGTGGATCCTCTATTTGGTTTGGATACTCTTAAGCAACATGATGGGTTTCCGCATGCGTCAAACGAGTTGACCAAAAAAATCATATACTCTGATGTTAGAGCAGAGCAAGCACCACTATAAAGCAGGAGTGTCCCTCTGGGGAGAGATTGAACACATCACAAATAATAATTCTTGCAATTGATGTAGCACCTTATACATTCCTCAGTGTTTAAAGTGCAGTGACTATAGGTCAGTGGTGGTCAACCTCTATTGCTGGCCATAAAATACATTTTCTTGATTGAATATTCACTTCCATACTCTTTCACACTTGGCTTTGTTAGCTTTCCTGGTGAGTTGCTCAAAACTGTACACAATACCATGTACACAATACAGTGCCTCGGGACATCCTCCCGACGTGAAAGGCTCTATACAAATGTAATTTGCGATTGTAGTGTTCATCTTTGACAGCAGAGCTAACAGAAGGTGCGTCAGAGGGGCTTTGGTTTGATTACAAATTAGCCATTCCTCCTCCACTTCAGAGCGCTGAGTGCTGAGCACAGGATGCTACCTTCCCACTTCATCGCCTCCTTAGCCATTAAGCGAGTCTCTCAGGTTAAAATTACTCAACAACGGCTAAACACCCAAAAGCTTCTTAACAGTAGGAGATAGCTTACATTTCATAAATATATTTTAATGGATTTCTTCCACTGCCAAAAAAACACTTCTACCTCCAAATCATCATCATTGAACCTCCCCTCCCAAATCTGAGGTGTTGCGTAAGATATTTAACCTGTTCAGTGGCATCATTCGATAAGGTCGTTTCTCCTGGTCAAAAATCACCCAGATAATTGTTTCATTTAATTCATGGCTGTTTATGATATTAATGTACGCAAATCAACTATCCTCCCGGGAGTCTCTGATGATGATTTACCAGATATTAATACCTTGTGTGAAGCTGTTTAGCTGTGAGGATCAGGTTAGGCAAATCAACTTTCGTTCATTGGAGCCAAGGCGATTAAGGAATGATTGGGTTGATGAAAATAATGCAGGAAATTGACAAGCTAAGTAGGGGAAACTCTTCCCCCTGGTGGAGGAATCCCTAAAATAGGAGAAATTATAATAATAATCCTGGCATTTGATATAGTGCATTATCAGGTTATTGAGACGTCTCAAAGTGCTTCACGGAATATACTGTAAAGTGGTTGACTGTATATTTTGTAAAATTCAGCAGCCAACTGCACCCAGCAGTGTGGCAGTTGCGGATTGATTTTTTTACCCCCAGAAAGCAACCCCCCACCAATCAACCAACAACTGGCTTCTTACTTGTTGCTAGTTAAACAGAGGGAGTAAGGAAAATTGCCTAATGTTTCGCCCTGCCAGGGTATGGAACCTAGACCCTCTTGCTTGCGAGGGCGCTAACCACTGCAGGCATAAGCCGTACATTACATGCCTTATGTCGACAAAACATCACAAGGTACTTCACAGTACTTACTGTAAAATGTAGTGACTGTATCTACAGGTGAATACCTCCACTTACCATAGTGCAATGATTTAAAGCTTCCCCCTGTTTTAAGCGCTCTGAGACTGTGTAGAGGTTGCTATATAAGTGTAAGTTGTTGTTATAAACAGAAGCAGTTTATTTTATTGTTTAATCTACAAAAATAAAGCAATAAAATTAGAACAACTTTCAAAAGAAAAACTCTCTGCAGAGTCCACAAATCTTTGTGATCACTATTACGCAGCATAAGGAACACAAAGTAACTTGCACTCCCACTGATGAAGGAAGGTGAAATACAGATCACAAGATAGTTGCCTTTTTAATGGGCTGAATGGCCTATTCTGACACGGTTTCCTAATCGTCTTATCTGAAAGGAACTGCTGGACTCGCACCTTGCAAAGGAAATCCCACAGATCCCCCCCAAAAAACCCTCAGAAAGTAAATTCTCAAAACTCGCAATAGATTTCCGTTCCAACCAAATCCCCAAATTAACACGGCCGAGTTAGTAGCACTCTCGCCTTCCAAAAGCACACATTGAGCCTTGGTTGCGGGCAAAGTACTGGAATCATTGGAATAATTAGAAAGTTTATTAATTTGCCAAATTATGGAGCTATCCTTTTCAGATCACGTTGAGAGTTTGAGTAAATATCCCCACAGGATAGCAAAGTCCTTTGGTAAGTATGGCCGTAGTGTACTTCTTTTAAGCAATGAAATCAGAGCAAACAGTAATTTCTCTAACAAATCTTCCTTGGGTTGATCCATTTCCGGCCTTAATTACAGGATACACTTCCTTCGGTTTCCAATCTAAGTCCAACATGGAAAGGATTTCCTAAAGCAGCATGTAGCGGACCAGCTTCCCTCCACGGACCTCCCGCATTCGCTGGCAGTGCCGCAGGACGTTAAAGACTCCGTGCAGCTTCTTATCAACCCTGAGGTTGGAAAATTCCTTGATGTCGGCTTCTACAAAGAAATATTGACCTTCAGAAGAAAGAGAAACGCATGAAAGTTTATTAATTTGAGCTTGCAAATGCATTGGAACTATCCTTTCTGGATCACGTTCAGAGGTCGACTGCACTAAACTGTTGAGCAAATATCTTGTGGAGTTTAAAGACAGGCTTTGAACACAACAACAACAAATTGCCTTTCACATTGAGGGGTTCTTTGAACATCCCTCACCTTTGTAATCTTCAGCACGTTTCAAATCTCAAAGGATGATTGGAAGATTGTGGGCAGAGTATGTATGTATGTATGTATGTATGTATGTATGCAGTTTGCCTACACTTATACAGTCTTTTACTACACTTTACAGTAAATTATGTGTGGCACTTTGAGACAGTTCAATGACATAAGGCGCAATATTAAATGCAATAATATTATCAACACTGACAGCTTAGACACTGAAGTGTGTAATATGGTTGGGGAGGGGAAGAGAAAGGAACCTTATTAATAATAATAATCCTTGCATTTCATACAGCACCTAATCACATTGTTGAGATGGCTCAAAGCGCTTCATAGAATATTCTGTAAAGTGTAGCGGCTGTGGATTTTTTGGGCGAACGCTGGCACCCAATTGTGCACATTTTTTCTCCCTCGCTCGCTTTCTTACTATCACCTAATTGTGCACAGTAATGTCCCACAAAAGGTAGGGAAGTGAGTGACCAATTTTTTAAAGTTTCATTTATTCTTAGGATCTCTTGCCCCCTACCTTTTGTTTCCTTGACCTCCTGTTCTTTAAAGGAATGGTATTGGTTGCGAGTGGTGTTATTCATGGATTTCAGTGGCTGGTTCAGAATCTTGTATTTTGCTTTCACAATATCGTTCAACTCCTTGATCACAGCATTGATCTGATCGTACGTCATTCGGCCCTTCATGTACCTGCAAGATGTGAAAGAAACAGCCCCAAAATGAAGAAACAGAAATTCAGGGAGGATACGATGAGATAAGAACAAATTTATTCAAGAGAATAATAAGGAATTTTGGGGACTCTTATATAGACATCTGCTCAACGGGCTCCGGTCTGCTCCACAACCCTCACCCGACCACCGACGGTCAGGCCTTCAGCCTCTCTGCCGCCATCGTTTGGATCTCCATCCCTGTCTCTTCGCCTTGTTCCATCCCTTGCCTCCTTCAAGACTCATCTAAAGACCCTCTTCTTCGATTGCATATTTGGTGATCTTCCTAATCTACCCTCCCTGCCGTTCACCTGATCCTAATCCCCAGCTCGGGTCCAACTTGCTGACTGTTCATTGTCTTGGCACGTCGTCCAGACATGAAAGGCGCTGTACAAATCTAAGTTGTTGTTGCTGTTTGTTGGATATATCTGTAAATTTAGCACCTGACCTGTCAGGGGTTGGGACTGCAGGATAGAGGACATCTACATCTTTGTCTCATTTATGTGCCAGACTAGCTGACCACCAGCTGTGACTTGAATTACTACGGTTCTTGCTGGCTTTGATCTAAGGTTTTGCTTCTCAGGGCAGTTCAATCCAGAGGACACACTAGTTTACCTATCACCTCCCCTCCCTCCTTATGTTTTATAGGAATAGAATGGAGGCCAAACAGAGAGCCTTTTCCCTTCTCTTGTCATGCTCCTTTGCTGTGAATCGGTTCTTTCCTTGGGCAGTCAGAAACCAGACCATTTACAATGTTTAATGGAGGGAACACAAAGCAATTCTAAATCCCTTTGCAGACGAGTCATCCATTTTAAAGGAACGGTGAATGGGTCAAGCCATGCATTACACAGGGGAGCTTTATCAGCTCACTCGCACGTGATAGAACAGTTCTGTGAAATAATACTACCATTTATCTTTATTTATAAATCTTCTACCTTTATCAGGAAGCTATACATCTTCCTCTGAGCCACTTAATAATAATAATCCTTGCATTTGATATAGCGCTTTTCACATCGGAGGACGTCCGAAAGCGCTTCATAGAACACTGTAAAGTGAATTGACTGTATATTTGTGGGCGAACGCGGCAGCCAATTGCGCACAGCAATGTCCCACAAACAGTTGTAGATTGAAAATGACCAATTTATTATTGTTTTTGAGGGATTATTATTAGGCTCTGTGTGGAGTAAGGAAACTTGCCCAAGGGTTCGCCCTCTGCCTGGAATTGAACTCCGGTCTCTTACTTGCAAAGCGAGTGCTCTAACCGAGCTACAGGACTTGCACGATGTTTATACAGCTAATGCAATTAATGGAAAGGTCCCTATAAGACAGGTTTGTGGAAATAAAAGTATCAGGTTGTGTGTATGATCTGTTGCAAAGATAGAAAATGTAGCTTTAAAATCAGGTGTCAGATGACAAAAGAACTGCTACTAGAAAACTGGTAAAGCACACTTGGAGAAATGACAGCAGCTCTAATTTAGGACGTAGATCAGAGCGGTTAGAGAGATTTAACTCAATTGTTTTGAGAATTTATTAATATTAATAATAATCCTTGCATGGATATAGAACTTTATCACATCATCAAAGCATCTCAAAGAGCTGTAAAGTGGAGTGACTGTGTTTTGTGGGCAAAACACTCCAGCCATTTGCCATTTACAGATTTACAGATTACATCCATTTACAGATCATCAGCCATGATCTTATTGAATGTCGGGGAAGGCTCGAGGGGCAGAATGGTCTACTCCTGCTCCTAATTCTTATGTTCAATGTCCCACAAACAGTCATGAAGTGAGTGCCCAATTTTATTTGGGGGATTATTGTACAGCACCCTGGGAGAAACTTCTTTTTTTCTTTTTAAATAATGCCTTGGGATCTTTAACGTCTGCCTGAATAGGCAATTGGTATGAGAAGTGAAATTGGTTTAACGTCTCATATAAAGGATGGCACCTCCGCCAATGCAACAACCTCAGCACTGCATTGGAGTGTCAGCTTAGACCATGTGATTTCATAGCCGGATGTGGGGCTTGGACCCACAACCATCATACTCAGAGGCAAGAGTGCTACCACTGCGCCTGGCTGACACATAGCTCAGGGATATGCATAGAGTAGAGCAGATACCCCACAGCACATGATGCCAGCGTCCATGTATTGAGAAGCATCCTCGGTATATTCCAAAGTCGGGTGGGTATTCCAAAGCACAGTTTAACACGTAATGGAGAACCTTTAGTAATACCAAATCTTGTCCCTATCAACTAGAACTGTACCTGTTCTTTAGAAGTTTTGCCCACAAAATACAGTCAATCCACTATTCGATATATTCTGTGAAACGCTTTGAGACATCTCAAAGACATGATATAGCAATATAGCTATAGCAAATGCAGAGATTATTATTATAAATAGACAAAGAGAACAATTTGTAGGTGAAATAAACAGACGACAACAACAAATTACATTTATATAATTACTCCTGCTTATATAATTAATAATAATCCCTCCAAAACCAAAAACAATAATAAAATTGGTCATTTTCAATCTACGACTGTTTGTGGGACATTGCTGTGCGCAATTGGCTGCCGCGTTCGCCCACAAATATAGTCAATTCACTTTACAGTGTGTTCTATGAAGCGCTTTGGGACGTCCTCCCGACGTGAAAAGCGCTATATCAAATGCAAGGATTATTATTATTATTATTATATAGCGACTTTCACGTCAGGACATCTCAAGGCGCTGGACAAACAGTGATTTGGACCCACCCAGAGGTTGAGATCAGGGGGGCAAGAGGGGTGGGGGTAGGAGGGTGAGAAAAGGTGCGGTCTTGAGAAATGCCTTGAAGGGGGTAAGGGAGGAAACAAGGTGAGGATCCTCAGTCTTGTTGACATTGAACTGTAGAAAGTTAGCTCTCATGCAGGACTTCATGTCTGACAGATATTGTGGCCAGATAGCAGGGGTCCTGGAGTCGAGGGCGGAGGCAGAGTTAGATAGAGTTACGTATCATCCGCATACTTGGACCGCATGTTTCAGATGATGTTACAAAGTAGGAGCACGTAGATATTGAAGAGGAGAGGACCAACGCAGAGCCCTGAGATGGTGCGGCGGCTGGAGGAGAAGCCATTTGTGTAGACAAAGTGGAGACAGTGCGGAAATGTAGGATCTGAACCATTCAAGGACAGAACTGTGAAGGTTGAGGTGAGAGGTGGTGGTGGAGGACAGAATGGTCAACAGTGTCAAAGGCAGAAGAAAGGGCAAGGCTAATGAGGAGGCCGAGGGAGCCCTGATCGCAGATGGACAAAATGCCATTTGTCATTTTGACCAAGGCCATTTCTTGCTGTGGGCAGCACGGAAACCTGATTGGAGGATTCGTGAGGAACGTGGCGGAAGAGGAAGGAACCAAGCTGGGAAGCAACGACTCATTCCCGAACTTTGGAAAGGGAGGATGGAGATGGGGTGGGGACAAGACAAACAAGTTCAACTAAACACATCTTATAATCTCTTTAGTCTAGTTTTCAGTATTTTTTACAAAAATAAACTGGAATATACAAACATTTTAGACAAAATCATTAACATTTCAGGGAGTCTGCTACTTACGTGGGAATCTGGTTGAATTCCTCGATCACAAGGAACTCCATCCCTCGAACAAATTGCTTGGGTTTGGTGGAATTCTTTGTGTGTTCTGGTTTATCAGGATCCGGTTGCACTGCTTCAGTTTTCTGGGTTGCTGAGCTAGAGATACAAGCACAGGATGACAAATAGTAGATGGTGCAGATGGCAATGTGTGGAGATGGAAGGGATGCTTATGATTTTGGACAAAATGAGATAACGAGATAACAAAAAGAATAACTTTGAACCCTAGATCTGATGCAGGTTTAAGAGTTGCACTGCTGATAAAACAGACCATTTAGCCACTTGTTAAAGAAAAAAATTAATGCAGCACTTTTACATTTTTACAAATATTTCAAGTGTTCTTTACAATAAGTATTGTGAAGTTTGGAGACTACTTTTCGGGAGGGATTTTTGCAAGAGCTAAGGACCTACAAACAAACAGCCTAAAGTGCTTAAATTGCTTAATATGGAGGAGGATTGTTGGCAAGACACTGGTAGTAGACTCCCTTGTAGTTTCCAATTTAATCTTGGGATCCTTAATATTTATCTGAACAAGCATTGGTTTAACATCTAATGTTCAAGTGCTCTGAGACGTTACCCGTGTAGCATGATGGGTGCTATACATAAAGGCAAGTTGTTGTTGTAGTAAAGGACAGCATTTAATATTATTCAACATTTAAAGGACAGCAACTCCAACAATGCACTCACCAGTATCGTATTGGAATGTGGGGCTTTGAACTTTCTGAGCCATGAGCTCTATCTGACCAATATTCCTACCTAATTCCAGATTTGAAAAAAATGCAGACCACTTGGTATTTTCGTAATTTAAGTAACTACATTAGTTTATAACTAATATAATAACTATACTAGTTAAAAAGCCCAAATTAACCAAATGATCCCTTTAAGGGGTAACGTAAACCTTTTCCAAATAGAGTAGTGAAATCCTTTACAGGATCAAGCAACTCAGCCTTCGATAACTGACTGAGGCCAATGTCTCACTAACAGTATTATAAACCAGGAGCATAAAAAATAAACTGACTTCCGGTTTGCCGTTGAAATTTGTCAGATGCGCTGCCTTCAGAGGGCGCAGAAAGTTACGCGTGCATAGGAGGAAGTGACATCAACGACACTTTCTATGCATATCTTGCAGAAAATGATAACAGCGGCAACCTGGTGATCTGGAAGTCAGACCTTGGCTAGTCAGAACCAGAAGCATGGTGCTTGCTTTTGCACAGTAGATCTTCACTATATCGAAGGACGCTTATAACTGAGACCTCCTGTATTTCCCGCTGAATAATATTTCTACTGGATTAGGAACAGTTATGACAAACACATTCACGTACTACACAATCATCTCTTGTATGAGATCTCGACATACCTGGTTGGAGCAGCTTTCTTTGGTAGATGAGATGGGACATTTTCTACGAGGTGCTGTGCTGTTTTATGAGTTTCATCAACTGAATTTCTGAGATCCTAGAATAATCAAATCATTGAACGTCAAAAATTGGGCAAAACTAATGGACTGTCAACTGTTATAATAATAATTATTGCATTTGATATAACCCCTTATCAAGTCTTTGAGACATCTCAAAGCGCTTCACAGAATATATTGTAAAGTGAATTGACTGTATACTTTGTTGGAAATACACAACAGCCAATTGCGCACAGTAGTGTCCTACAAACAGTTGTGGACTGAGTATCCAAATTATTTTTTTGATTAAGGGTTTATTATCCCCAGAAAAAGCAATCTGCTAATTGACTAACAACCGGGTTCCTACTTACTGCTAGGTAAATGGAGAGTGTGGAGTAAGGAAACTTGCCTAAGGTTTTCCTGACAGGGAACCAAACTCGGAACCTCTCGCTTGTGAGTGCGCTGAACAATATGCTACAGGTCCACAAGTAGTAGTGCCATGGGATCTTTAAAATCCACCTGAAGCAAGGTTTAACATCTCATCCGGAGGTTATCATCTCCAACAATGCAGCACATCCCAGCAATACTTGAGTGTTAGCCTAGATTATTTGAGTTTGAAGTCCTGATGTGGGGCGAACCCACAACCTTCTGATTCAGAAGTGAAAGTGCTACCAACTGAGCCAGACTGATACCTAATTTATCTCAATCTGCCTCCCTTAAAGCAACATCTGGATACTATTTCTAGCCAATTAAAAGATGCTTTATTCTACTCTCCATTGGTCTTGAATCCAACACACCAAGCAAAAGTTTCACAGAAGCCCATTGTCCAAAAGCTGCGAGTGTGTTCAGATCTAAATTTAGTTATAATTATCACCTGAAATTTTGTCTCTTCATAACAGATACACTGTGAAAATGCACATTAAATTGGTTAGGAAATGTTGTAAATTTCCCGCCCCCCACCCCCACCTTTTGATTCTATAAACAACAACTTGCACTTATATAGCGCCCGTCCCCCACTCAGGGCAATGTTTAACAGTGGCGGAACCTGATTCCGAGCTGGAAGGAGGTCGGTGACCAGAGTGAAACATAAAATGAAAGATAAGACACTACAGTTCACAGATACAACATACAATAACCAGAAAAACGTAGGACATTTTGGAGAAGTTCCAGTGAATGGAATATGAAGGATTTTACCTTGATAACTTTCAGGTCAGTTTTCTGTCGCAGTATCTCTGCCTGAAATGTATCTAACAGATACCAGATGTCAGATAATTCTTGCTCAATCTTCTGCAGCACTTTTGTCTGAGAAGGATCATAACCTAATGACAGAAATGTTGGGATTGTGTATAAGGAAGGAGTCATCTTGCCTCAGTTCATAATACTGGTATCTTGGTCAATGTGGATTCAAACTCCATGTCATGAGCTCAAGTTCTAGGCTGACACTCCCAACAGTAGTGTGGGGGATCTGTTGTCAGAAGTTCAGTCTTTCAGATGAGATCCTGTCTGCCTCTTCAGGTGGATGTGAAAGATTCCATAACATTATTGGAAAAGAGAAAGGAATTTCCTCCAGAGTCCTGGTCAAAAATCCTAACCTAATGGTTGCTTGTGAAATTTTGTACACAAATACAGTAATTAATGAAGCGTTCTTTGAGAAGGAAAATGTACATTATGGCACCGTAATTACATAACAGTAATAACATAACAGTAATAATGAAAATGTTCCTTCTTACCATATTAGATAATCTCTGAAGCTGAAGAGCCCAAGTTTATTTTTAAAAACTAAAGGGATTAAGGGATATGGGGATAGGGCGGGTAAATGGAATTAGGTTACAATGTAAAGCATCACAAACAGGTCAATCTGCATTGTCCTACTGTTTATCATAGGAACAGGAGTAGGCCATTCAGCCCATTGAGCCTGTTCCACCATTCTATAAGATCATGGCTGATCTGTACCTCAAGTCCATTTACCTGTCCTTGTCTCACATCCCTTGATAATAATAATCGTTGTATTTGATATTGCGCATCATCACAACTTTGAGACTTCTCAAAGATATACTGTAAAGTGAGTTGACTGTATATTTTGTGGGCGAAACGTGGCAGCCAATTGTGCACAGCAATTGATACCCTTATCTTACCCCACAAATATCTATCCACCTCAGTCTCGAAAATGTGAATGGATCCAGCATCCACAGCCTTTTTGGTGGGGAGAGAGTTCCAAATTTCCACTGCACTTTGTGTGAAAATCTGCCTCCTGATTTCACTCCTAAATGGCCTAGCTCTAATTCTAAGATTAATCCCCCTTGTTCTGGATTCCCTCACCAGTGAAAAAGTTACTCTGTAGCTGCCCTATCGAATCCCTTTATTATTTTAAAACCTCAATTTAGATCCACCCTCAACCTTCTAAAAGGGATTGAAGCAGTAGAAGGGGGTGGAGGGGAAGGTCACATTGACTCTCAAAGGTACCGGATCAGCTTTGTGGTGCAGCTTTCTCAGATTCCACCTGTGGAGATGTTCCCTGTAACAGTCTCCTTAATTGGAGAACGCAGTCAGCGCAGTATGAAACAGTATGAGGCCGGACAAGCACAGAGAGAACACAATATTTAAAATCAATTAACTTTGCATAACGATCCAGCTCATAAAAAACTCCACAATTTAACTGGCTTAAGTCAACTTTAATATGGTATTCGACAAAGCAGCTCAGAAATGCTGCCACCCACAAGGTGGCAGCTTCAAAAGGAGCTGAAGGCTGGCTCAATAGCTTTCACAAACTGATTTGGGGCCAACTGGTTTGTCAAATAATAATAATAATCCTTGCATTTGCCTTGTCACATCATTGAGATATCTCAAAGCCCTCCACAGAATATATTGTAAAGTGAATTGATCGTATATTTTGTGATCAAAACACAGCAGTCAATTACACACAGCAGTGTCCCACAATCAGCCGTGGATTCTTTTTAAAAAAAGGGATTATTACCCCGCAAAGCTATCTGCTAATCAACTAACAACAGATAGCTACTTACTGTTAGGTAAACAGAGATGCGTGGAGGAAAGAAGCTTTCCTAAGGTTTCACTCTACCGGGAATCAAACCCAGGTCCTTTTGTTTGCGTGGCGAGTGCTCCACCAAATTACTACAGGACTCCAAAGCCTGGGAAGGGGGAGGGTGTAGGGCAATGGGGAATGACATACAGCTTCCCCTTGAAGCAGCAATACCTTTCGATAAATGAAACACACTTTCCAATCTGGGACTTACTCAGTCTGTCATTTTTCTGACAGTGTAAAAACGAAGGCCTGCCATTTCCCATGAGTATGCGTGGAGTCCTGTGGCTCAGTGGTTAGAGCACTCGCTTTACAAGCGAGATACCCGAGTTCAATTCCAGGCAGAGGGCGAAACCTTGGGCAAGTTTCCTTACTCCAAACAGAGCCTAATAATAATCCCTCCAAAAAACAAAACAATAATAAATTGGTCATGTTCAATCCACGACTGTTTGTGGGACATTGCTGTGCGCAATTGGCTGCCGCGTTCGCCCACAAATATACAGTCAGTTCACTTTACAGTCTATTCTGTGAAGCGCTTTGGGACGTCTAGAAGACGTGAAAAGCGCTATATCAAATGCAAGGATTATTATTATTATTATGCACTTGCCAATTTTCACCTCCAAAACTCAATGGCAATTCTTTTCACAATAGTGAAAACACAAAAATGAGGACAAAAGATGTTTAACAGAGAGCCCTTGAAATGGCAATGAATCAACTTGTTGTCTCCTGTGTGAGCTGCGATTTCTAAAGTTCATCAAAATGCCATCACATCTGCCATCTATTCAAATTCTCCTATTGTATTTGCAGACACAGATGTATTAAATAAACTAAAGGCCTTTTGTATCACATACTGGCTCAGTTTGCAACACTCTTGCCTCTGAATCAGAAGGTTTGTGATTCAAACCCAATGATGGATTTTGATAAATAATAGATACGTGCATTTGAATAAATAATAAAGATCCTTGCACCTTATCACATAGCTGAGACATCTCAAAGCACTTCACAGAATATACTGTAAAGTGAATTGACTCTGCATCTTGGGGGAGAAACAGCTCAGCACAAAAAGTCAGATTGAGTATCGAAATAATATCTTTTTGGAGGAGAGATTACTACCCCAACAACCCAGTTCCTACTTACTGCTAAGTAAACAGAGGCATGTGGAGTAAGGAAATTTGCCTAAAGTTTTGCCCCAGGTACTCTCGCTTGCAAAGTGATGTCCTCCCGACGTGAAAGGCACTCCATAAATGTAATTTTGTTTTGTTGCTGTGAGCGTGCTAACCAATATGTTACAAGATTCTTGTGGATAACTAATTTTATAGTTCAGGCTGGCTCTTCAGTGCAGTACTGAGGGATCATTACATTATCAGATGTGTGCTTTTCACCACATCAGGCTTCACTATCCTCCCATAGTGAAAAGGGCTGTATAACAACAACAACCTGCATTTATATAGCAACCCTCAGGGATTTTAGTGTCACAGAGCTCTTGACAGTGGGGGGGGAGCATGACACGATGTGGTGGGGGGAGGGCTGTAGGCACCGTCAAATAGGAAGATCTTCAGGAGCGACCTGAAGATGGGGAAGCAAGGGGAAAGGCAGAGGGATAGAAGAAGAGTGTTCCAGAGTTTCAGAAGTGTGGCTACCAATGGTGGAATGGAGGGCACGAGTGACTTTCAGGAGGCCAGAGACAGTCGAGTGGAGGCTGTGCGTAAGCAGGTCGGAGAGGTATGGAGGTGGCAGAGCATGAAGGGATTTGAAAATCAGTGTGAGGGTCTTGAAATTGATCCGTCCGGCGATAGGCTAGAACTTGTGTAATGGGAATACAGAGTTTAGTACAGGTGAGTATGCAGGCTGCAGAGTATAATTGTAAATAGTTTTTGTTCTTGTAGTTAAACTCACCCATTTTCTTCAGTTGTAGGGACCTTTTAATCAAAGATATCTTGTTGTTCATGTGAACTGATAAATCCTGCAAATCCGTCGAGGTCATCCTTAGCAAATCAGGACAGCTCTTCAACCAAATCTAACAACATCAAATCAAATGGCTTAGTATGGGAATTTACCTCATTGGCGCATTCTGCTCTACAGTGATATACTTCTTAAGCATTTGTAAAGAGGCAACTGTCCACCTCTCAGATAGTCTACAGCTCTGGCTAAAATCCATTGAGAACAAAGACTGGCCAAAAATAGTGCAATAAATAGAGGGTGAAAAACTGAATATTCTATGTCATAACACCCAAAAGTACGATCTAAACCTGCCTTTAATTATTGCACATGTGTACAATTGGCTGCCGAGTTTCGCCCACAAATATTCAGTCAATTCACTTTACAGCATATTCTGTGAAATGCTTTGGGACGTCTAGAAGACGTGAAAAGCGCTATATCAAATGCAAGGATTATTATTATTAAGAACATATTGCATATAATATAATAATAGTACTAACATTTAATATAGTGCCTTATCACTTTGGTGAGACATCTCAAAGCGCTTCACAGACTGGGCATTTGTGATCAAGATTATAATTACAGTATTATACACACACATAATATAAACACACACACATATCTCTCCCTATATAATGTACATATAATATCTATACACTTTATTGTGATAATTAGTGTCCTAAAAACATGAAAGCATGGCCATTTGCGCTTCTTTCCGGATCACTGTTGTTGTTAGCGAGTTCCACCGTGCATTATACTCAGGAATCAGGTCAATAAGCCCCTTTCTTCGCAAACCATTGAGGGAATCAGGGAGTCAGTATACCAGGGATCTACTGTTCCATTCAAGCGAATGGCGTACTGATTGATGTCCACTACAAAAGCTGCAATGATGCGTTAGATGTGCAGGGTGAGATATATAGCTCCTTGGGCTCACAGAAACCTGGCTGTCCCAGTGACTCCACCCCCCTCATCAAAACCTCCCGCCTGGTCACACCTTACACCCCCGACTGCCCCCGTCTCCCAAATCTCCCTCGGTTCATTCCCCTATTCCTCCCGCTCCTTCATCTCCTTCAAGCACTTCACCCATTACCAACTCCTGCTCTCTCGCTCTCTCTCTCCATCAAAATCTTCCTAGTCCGCACCGCACCGCCCCCACAAAACCTTCCTCTCAAACAGCCCATCTTTGTGTTACATTTCTCAGGAATAAATTGGGGTGATTTAAATTTAAGGTCATGTAGTACGACTTCAATGCCACAGGATGGCACAAGCATCCTATATATAATCACACCCACAGAGCAAGCGTTCCCAAAGGCACAGCACTTGCCCACGCAAGCGGCCAATATTTTGTGTGCAAAATTTTGTGTATTTTATTCCTATGCCCAGAAGTTCCATCACTCGAGAGTTTCACCTCCAAGTCGGAAAGTGGTGGGTTGAAGCCCACCCGCGCGCGCGGGCGGCGGCTTTGAGCTCACGGTCCAGGGCTGACGCTCCAGTGCCGTGTTAAGGTCAATAATAATCCCTCCCAAAACTATAATAAATTGGGTCATTTTCAATCCGCGGCTGTCTGCGGGGGCACCGCTGTGCGCCATCGGCTGCCGCGTCCGCCCACAAATATACAGTCAATTCACTTTACAGTGCGTTCTGCGAAGCGCTTCGCGCGCAGCGGTGTCCCCACAGACAGTCGTGGATTGAAAATGACCCAATTTATTACAGGTTTTTTTTTGTGTGGGGGGGGGGGAGGGAGGGGAGGGCTCGTTATTTATTAATAACATTATTATTGTTCGTTTGCTTTGAAGGGTTTAATTAATTAATTTGGAGTGTGGGGAGGGGGGGGGGGACCTGCCTGAGGTACCTCTTGGCTGTTTGCTCTCCTCTTGGGGACATGTGGGTGACTTTTACCTTCTAAAATCACTCAGTAACGCTGACCAAAGCCTCTCGGGCTTTTCCTTACCTTTCTGACGCGAGGCCCCGGTCTCAGGTCCCGCTCGACTCTCGCAGCCGTTAACGGTCGTCCTCGCTTCAAACATTTGAATCTTCCCGCCCAGTCGGGCTCGCGCCGCGGGGGGGGGGGGAGGGGGGCGGGGGGAACGACGACAGCCAATCAGCGGCCGCCGCGCGCAGAGGGCGTGACCCGAGCGAGTGAGGGGCTGGGACGAGGGAGAAATTATTTTTAACTCGTCTTGAAATTAACTTCAGGTCCGACCATTCGATTTGAAATGGACCTGAAAGATTTTTGTCCCCTCCAGAAGAGGGAAATGACTGACTTTGGGCGGCGTGACGACGGCGGGGCGGCCCAGCTGCCATGGTGACGGGGCTTTCATCGCGTCCACGCAGCCGGTTCTCGCGATAACTCGCGGTTGCCATGGCGAGGCGACCTGGTTGCCATGGAGAGGACGCGCTCCCTGAACACCCCCCCTCCCCACACACACACACACACCACATCGCCTCCCCCCGCCCCACTCCTCTTCGGTCTCTGGCGTTGGCTCCAGGGCTCGGATTAGAGCAAGAGGGGCAGAAAGTGAGGGAGTGAGGAGTTGAATGAGTGAGAGTTTGAGGGATTGAGTGAGTGAGAGTTTGAGGGAGTGAGAGTTTGAGGGATTGAGTGAGTGAGAGTTTGAGGAGTGAGTGAGTGAGAGTTTGAGGGAGTGAGTGAGAGAATTTGAGGGAGTGAGTGAATGTTTGATGGAGTGAGCGAGTGAGAGTTTGAGGGAGTGAGTGAGAGTTGAGAGAGTGAGTGAATGAGAGTTTGAGGGAGTGAGTGAGAGTTTGAGGGAGCGAGTGAGTAAGAGTTTGAGGGAGTGAGTGAGGGAAAGTTTGAGGGAGTGAGTGAGAGAGTTTGAGGGAGTGAGTGAGATAATTTGAGGGAGTGAGTGAGTGTTTGAGGGAGTGAGTGAGTGAGAGTTTGAGGGAGGGAGAGAGTTAGAGTTTGAGGGAGGGAGTGAGTGAGAGTTTGAGGGAGGGAGTGAGTGAGAGTTTGAGCGAGTGAGTGAGTGAGAGTTTGAAGGACTGACTGAGTGAGAGTTTGAGGGAGTGAGAGTTTGAGGGATTGAGTGAGTGAGAGTTTGAGGAGTGAGTGAGTGAGAGTTTGAGTGAGTGAGAGAATTTGAGGGAGTGAGTGAATGTTTGATGGAGTGAGCGAGTGAGAGTTTGAGGGAGTGAGTGAGAGTTGAGAGAGTGAGTGAATGAGAGTTTGAGGGAGTGAGTGAGAGTTTGAGGGAGCGAGTGAGTAAGAGTTTGAGGGAGTGAGTGAGGGAAAGTTTGAGGGAGTGAGTGAGAGAGTTTGAGGGAGTGAGTGAGATAATTTGAGGGAGTGAGTGAGTGTTTGAGGGAGTGAGTGAGTGAGAGTTTGAGGGAGGGAGAGAGTGAGAGTTTGAGGGAGGGAGTGAGTGAGAGTTTGAGGGAGGGAGTGAGTGAGAGTTTGAGGGAGGGAGTGAGTGAGAGTTGGAGAGAGGAAGTGAGTGAGAGTTTGAGGGAGGGAGTGAGAGTTTGAGGGAGGGAGTGAGTGAGAGTTTGAGGGAGGGAGTGAGAGTTTGAGGGAGTGAGTGAGAGTTTGAGGGAGTGAGTGAGAGTTTGAGGGAGTGAGTGAGAATTTGAGGGAGTGAGTGAGAGTTTGAGGGAGTGAGTGAGAGTTTGAGGGAGGGAGTGCTGCCTTTATGTTTTGACTCAATCGCGACACAGTTGTTATTGTTTTACCTCAGATCTTTAAAAGCACGAGGAAAAAGGAGGAAGAGGATCATGGCGGCTACTTGTCGGGAGGGGCAGAGATGCAGGGAGGTTAAAGGGCCGAAGCCATGTTCTGTGGCTGTGGTTAGTATTGTTGGATTGCCCGTGTCCTCTCCTGCACCGGGCTCTATATCACCCCCATCTGCGCCCATCTCCATCGCTCAGGGGATACAGTTCAAGATCCTGGTCCTCACCTTCAGTGGCCTCTTTCTTTCTAGTTTATCTTTATTTAACTTTACCTGTAGAAAGACAAGAGGGAGCACGGAATGGGAAATGGGCCATTTCAACCCAATAAGCTTGCGACTTGAGATATCAACTGTGTTGTTGTTGATCATTTTAGACACAGGTGAGAAATGGGCTGATTCTCCCTCTGCCTGTTCAGGTGGACGTTGAAGATCCCCTGGCACTGTTCAAAAAGAAACGGGAGTTTATAATAATAATAATAATAATAATCCTTGCATTTGATATAGCGCTTTTCATGTCTTCTCGACGTCTCAAAGCACTTCACATAATAGACTGTAAAGTGAATTGACCGTATATTTGTGGGCGAACGCGGCAGCCAATTGCGCACAGCAATGTCCCACAAACAGTCGTGGATTGAAAATGTCCAATTTATTATTGTTTTGTTTTGGAGGGATTATTATTAGGCTCTGTGTGGAGTAAGGAAACTTGCCCAAGGTTTCACCCTCTGCCTGGAATTGAACCCCAGGTGTCTCGCTTGCAAGGCAAGTGCTCTAACCACTGAGCTACAGGACTCCAAACAATTTCCCCTTGGGTCCTGGCCAACAATCTCTCAAATAAAATTAGTCATTTGTTTCATGGTTGTTTGTGTTAATCTGCAGTGCGCAATTGTGCTGCTGCATTCATCTACAAATGTGTGAATTGATTTCATACTAAATCCCATGAAGCAATTTGAGACGTCCTTCCGACGTGATAAGGATTGATACCAAATGCAAGGTTTTTTTTATTTATTATTATTCTGTGTTAAGGCAGAAAATGATGTGCTCGCGTTGGGGATGTAGGGAGGGGGGATTGCTATTGTACCTATTCTGAAAATCCCACCTTTGTGAATTTCGTCCTTTTGTTGTTAGAAAGCAAAAGCTATGCATAAAGGCATGCAAGCGAAAATTGAAAAACAAAAAAAGCTAGAGATTGCTTTGGAAGAGGCCTTAGCCTTCGAGAAGTACCAGAGAGATGGTCTGACCAGGAATAAGCTGGAGAGAATAGAGGAGCAAAAGAGAATGAGATTCAAGATCAACCAAAACTTCAAAGGAATAATGCTGGAGTATAAAGCCAGCATAGATGACAGGAGAGACAGGTAAATGGGAGTACAGTGTTTATTTCAATTAACTCCTAGATAAAATTGGCCATTCACTTCCTGGCTTGTGGGACACTGCTGTGTGAAGAATGGCTGCTGCGTTCACCTGCAAATAAAATCCCGTGAAGCACTTCAAGAAGGCTATATCACATGCACGGATTATTGTAAGCAAAAAGTTGATTGTGGATTCACAAGAGCAAGATATAAAGTGTGTGCATTGGTCTGGATGAAGAAGACCCTTTGGCCCATCTGATCTCATTCTTTCCAAATATCTATCCTTCCGTCAACATGATTTTTAAATGAGTCCCATTGTTCTGGCCTCAACCTGTCCTGGCAACCTGTTCCAGTTGTTAATTATCCTCTGAGTAAAGAAAAACTTGCTGATGTGTGTCATAAAATTTCCTTTACAACTCTAAGACTCTGCCCTATTGAGTACTGTTGTGGCTCTATTTGAAAAGAGAAGGGAGTTTTCCCTGGTTTCCTAGCCAACAATCCCCAAATAAAGTTGGTCATTCTCTTCATGGCTATTTGTGAGACTTTGCTGTGTGCAAATTGGTTGTCATGTTTGCCTAAAAGTACAAAGTAAAATCCCATGATATGAAAGGTTCTGTATTAAATGCAATAATCATTATTATGATGATTAATGTTCTTTGTTTCATTTCTCCAAGGCTGCGAGAGCTCCTGGAAACCGAAGAGGAGGCATTGCTGAAAGAATTTGTTGGTCTTGGTGATACTGTATTCGACCGGCAAGAAAAAATGAGGGAAAGAGCGAAATTCCTTCGGGATAAAAACGAGAAGGAAAGGCAGCAACTGGTGGCTGATAAACGTGATCAGCAGTTTAGGTACCAGTTGATGAAACACACAATACAGGTTTTAGGGTGACTCCAAACAGAATTAAAGGGGAGTTCAAAGAAAAAAAAATCCTTACCACAGACGGAGAGAGGGTTGAGATTAACTGGCATAAACTGTTGTTGAGGCGAAGTGCTTAAAATCTTTTCTAAGGCGAATTTGACATATGTAGTGTAGTGGTTAGCATGCTCGCTTCGCAAGTGAGAGGCCCCAGGTTCGATTCCCAGATGTGGAGAAACCTTAGGTAAGTTACATTGCTTCACATGCCTGTATACCTAGCAGTAAGTAGGAACCTGGTTGTTAGTTGATTGACGGATCGCTTTCTGGGAGTAATAATCCCTTCAAATTAATGATAATAATTTGGACACGGCGGTTTGTGGTACATTGCTGTACGCAATTGGCTGCGTGTTTCACCCACACAATATACAGTCAGTTAACAGTATATTCTGGAGAATATTAGGAGGTTAAATGGGTCGAAAAGTCTTCTTCATCCAAACTTCTCATGATCTGTGTCTTTTGTGCCTTGTTGTTGTTTCTTGTTCATGCCTTCATCACCTCCAGGCTCGACTATGCAAACGCTCTGCTTGTCGGCCTTCCCAACTCCTCCCTCCACAGGCTGCAGATAATCCAGAACTCTGCAGCCCGTGTCCTCTCCCGCACCAAACTCCGTGACCCCATCTCCCCCATTCTCGTCTGACTCCACTGACTCCCTATCCTTCAGAGGATCCAGTTCAAGATCCTGGTCCTCAAATACAAAGCCCTCCATGGCCTCGCCCCACCCTACCTCTGCGACCTCCTAACCCCCTACCAACCCGCCCGTTCCCTCCGCTCAGCCGGCTCCGGCCTGCTCCACGTCCCCTAACCCACCCGCCCCACTATTGGCGGGAGAGCCTTCAGCCACTCTGCCCCCAACCTCTGGAATTCCATCCCCCAGTCACTCCACCTCGCCCCCTCCTTAGCCTCCTTCAAGTCCTGCCTCAAGCCCCTCCGCTTCGACCATTGGCCACCCCCCTTCCCCTCCCCTCCCCCCCCAACCCCAGCTCGGGTCTGAAATGCTGTACTCTGTCCAGCGCCTTGGGACCTCCTCCCGACGTGAAAGGCGCTATACAAATGTAATCTTGTTGTTGTTGTTTTGGTGCTAGGGAGCAGAGCGAGGAACTGCGCAAGATGATGTTTCATAAGCACCAGCTGGAGGTCAACAAAGACAGGCTGGTGCAGCTGGAGATGAAGAAGGAGCTTGAAAGGAAGAAGGAGGAAGAAGAGGATCTCTTTGCTGAGCTGTGGAAAAAGGACCAGCAAGCGAAAGAGGAACGTCTGGCAAAGGAGATACAGGAGGAAAAGACTCGAAACCTGGAACTGCTCGCTGTTCAGCAAAGCCAGATGGTAGAAGCCAATGCCAAACGTATGGAAGCGAGGCGCTTGATACAAGAGGAGGCACAGTTAATGGTAAGAGTGTCCAACTGACAGCTGGTGGGGGTTGGGGGAGGGTGGGGGTTGGGAGAGGGCGGGGGGTTCTTTAGCTTGCTTTTGATTTGTAGACTCTAGGAAAATAACTAAGAATCGTTTTATTTCATGTCAGGAGGACGGACGTCTCAAACCGCTTCACAGAAATCACTAAAATAATTATAATAATAATCCTTTCATTTGATTTAACAACAAACAATAACAAAGTATGAAGCGCTTTTCACGTCAGAAGAACATCCCTTATCATGTCGATGAGATGTCTCAAAGTGATATTACTGTAAAATGTAACTACTTTGTAGTTGTAGGCAAACGCGGTAGCCAATTTTATTTACAGGAACGTCCCACAAAAAGCCATGAAGCGAATGATAAAATTTATTTTGGGATAATGTTGGCCAGGATACCGGAGAAACTCATTTCTCTTTTGGAGCAGAGGGCTCTTATTTTTTTTCACATCTCATCTGAAGGATGGAACCTCTGACAATCTAGCACATTGTACATTGTGGGGTCCCGTAGTGCAGTGGTCAGCGAGCATGCCTCAAAAGCAAGAGGAACCAGATTTGATTCCCAAGGTTTCGCCAAGTTTCCATATTCCATACATCGCTTTACTTATCAGTAAGAAGGAATCCAGCTGGCGGATTGCTTTCCAGAGTTAAAAATCCCTCCAAAAAACAATTTGGTCACTCAATCCATGACTGCTTGTGGGACACTGTTGTGCGCAATTGGTTGCTGCATTTCGCCCACAAAATGCAGTCAATCCACTTTACAATATATTGTGTGAAACAACGTGATCAGGCTCTATATCAGACGCAAGGAATATTTATTTATTTTATTGGATTGCCAGCCTAATCTGTGACTTCAAAGTCCTGACATGAGGATTGCGCTTGCTTTCAGTATGTAGAATTTGTGAAACATACATAGATTGAATTGTGACTGAGCATCCAAAGCTCTCTTTTGCTCTGGAGCTCCGGAAGCTCTGATCTGCTCCATGTCCCCCACCCAGCCCACCCCACCATCAGCGGTTGGGCCTTCAGCCTTTTTGCCTCCAACTTTTTGAACTGCATGCCATAGTCCCTTCACCTCGCTTGGTTTCTTCAAGGCACGTCTCAAAACCTCCTCTTCAACTGCGCCTCTGGTCACCCACTTACCCCTACCCTCCCTGCTCTCCTGATCACAATCTGCAGCTCAGGTCCAAATCTCTGACTGTCCAACGCCTTGGGACGTCCTCCTTACGTGAAATGGGCTTTGCAAATGTAATTTGTTATTGGTGAGAATAAAAGATTTGCTAATTGGTAATGTGGACATGTCACAGAAAGAGTTGGAGCGTCAGAAGAAGCTGGAGGATGAGCAGGATGAGATCAAGAAGGCCCAGAAACAGCTGGAAACCCGCAGCATGCTGCAGAAGTCCATCCAGATGAAGAATAAGCGTCTGGCAGAGCAGCAGAAGGAGGAGGAGGCCTTGGACACCAAGATCAATGAGCAGATGCTGAAGGAGTACCATGACGATGCTGAGGAGCAGAAGCAAAGAAAGGTAATGAGAGGCCATGAGGGGTGGGGGGGGAGGGCGGGTCCAGGCAGGTCAGCAACATGCTTCAACAAGGCTGAAAGAGAGTCCTGTAACGTAGTAGTTAGAGGAAGGTGGTTAGAGCACTCGTCTCACAAGAGAGAGGACCCGGATTTGATTCCCGGGTCGGGTAAAACCTTAGGCAAGTTTCCTGACTCCACACGTTTCTGTTTATCTAGCAGTAAGTAGGAACCTGGTTGTTAGTCGATTGGCAGATCGCTTTCTGGGGATAATAATCCTTTTTTTAAAAAAAATGTCACTCAATCCACCACTGTTTGTGGACACTGCTGTGCGCAATTGGATGAGAGATTGAAAGCGAGCAAGGGAGAGAAAATGGGAGAGAGAAAAGAGAACATAAGCAAACAACAGTGAGAGAGTGTAAAAAGGAGAGAAAGAATGTGAGCAAGAGGGAGAAAGGGAGTGAAGGACAGAAAGAGAAAGCAAGCAATACCCCCATACCCCTTTATTCCTCCCAGACCTGTCTACTGTATTTGTCAGCCTGGCTCAGCTGGTAGATCTCTCACCTTTAATAGAATCATGGAATATTGCAGCACAGAAGGAGGCCATTCGGCCCTTTGTGCCTGTGCAGGCTCTTTGGAAGAGCCACCCAAACAGTCCCACTCCCTCGCTCTTACACTCGCTCCTTGCAATTTTTTTCTTTTTAAGTACCTATCCAATTCCCTTTTGAAAATTGTTATTGAATCACTTAGAAAAATATGGGTTAATAAAGGACAACTAACATGGATCTTCAACCGTGCCTTCAGCTCCCCTCTCGACTCTCTACCCCCTCCTCGCTCCCTTCCTTCCCTCCCCTCACCCTGACCATTTCCCCAATGCTCGGGTCCCGACCCAACTGTCCAGCACCTTGGGACGTCCTCCCGATGTGAAAGGCGCACTATAAATCTTGTTGTTGTTGTTAAAAGTCAAATCGTATCTAACAAACCTGATATACAGGCACAGAAACAGCCCTGTTCAAAGTGACAAATGCCATTCTGTCCATCTGCAACCAGGGCTCCCTCTGACTCCTCGTCCTCCTTGACCTCTGCTGCCTTCAACACCATTGATCACTTTATCCTCATCCATTGCCTCTCCTCTCACCTCAACGGCTCTGTCCTTGACTGGTTCAGATCATACCTCTCACATCGCCTCCACTTCATCTCCACAAACGGTTTCTCCTCTACCCCCCGCACCGTCTCATGCGGCGTTCCTCAAGGCTCTGTCCTTGGTCCCCTCCTCTTCAATATCCATATGCTCCCTCTTGGTGACATCATCCACAGACATGAGGTCAACTTCCATTTGTATGCGGATGACACCCAACTCTACCTCTCTGTCTCCACTCTTAACTCCAGGACCACTGCTGTGCTGACAGAATGTCTGTCAGACATCAAGTCCTGGATGAGAGCGAACTTTCTTCAGTTGAACGTCAGCAAGACCGAGGCTCTCCTGATTGGCTCCTGTAAGCGCCTCCTCACCTCAGGCGCTGACAGCATCACCATCCATGGTTGCGCACTTCACCTCGCTAAGCCAGTCCGGAACCTTGGCATCTTATTTGACCCTCAACTATCCTTTGTATCCTACATCCGTGCCCCGACCCGCTCTGCCTTTCACCACCTCCATCCACAACATTGCTTGGCTCCGCCACTGTCTCACATCATAGGCTGCCGAAATCCTCATACACGCATTCATATATTGAGGTTTGACTATGCAAACTCCTTGCTTGTTGGCCTCCCCAACTTCTCCCTCCATAGGCTGCAGATCTTCCAGGAATCTGCAGCCCGTGTCCTCTCCCGCACCAGGTTCCATGACCCTATTACCCCCTTCCTCACCTGACTCCACTGGCTTCCCATCACGCAGAGAATACTTCAAGATAACGGTCCTAACCTTCAAAGCCCTCCATGGCCTCACTCCCCCCTACCTCTGTGACCCTTACCATCCTGCCCGCATCCTCCGCTCAGCGGGCTCCGGCCTGCTTCACGTCCCCCGCCTCGCCTGCCGCACCATTAGCAGGCGAGCTTTCTGCCACTCTGTCCCCATCCTCTGGAACTCAATCCCACAGTCCCTCCGCCTTGCCCCCTCCCTTTCCTCCTTCATTCCCATCTCAAGACCCTTCTCTTCGACCGTGCTTTCGATCATCCTGCTTCCCACCTACCCTCGAGCCTCCCACAGTCACGACCCCCACCTCAGGTCCAAAACTGTCCAGCATCTTGGGACGTCCTCCCAATGTGAAAGATGCTATACAAATGTAATTTTGTTGTTGTTATTGATATAGTTTTTTAATGAATCCATATAAATTAATGAATCCATATAAACTACATCAAGTGCAGTTGTTATCAAACACAAAAGGTAAAATGGGCAGAAACGTAGCAGATGAAGTTTAATGTGGAGAAATGCAAAGTGTTGCATTTTGGGAGGAAGAATGAGGAGAGACAATATACGCTGATGGTACAATCTTAAAGGGAGTGAAGGAACAGAGAGACCTGGGGGTCATATAGTAAATCTTTGGAGGTGGCCGGACAGGGAGATAAAGCTGTTAAAAAAGCATACGGCTTTATAAATAGGGTCATAGAATACAAAAGTCAGGAAGTTATGATGAACCTTTATAAAACACTGGTTAGGTCTCAGCGAGAGACTGTGTTCAGTTCTGGTCCCCTTCATTTTAGGTATAGATGTCAAGGCAATGAAGAAGGTGCAAAGAAGATTTACCAGGATGGTATCAGAAATGAGGGACTTTAGTTATGAAGAGAGGCGAGAGACGCTAGGATTATTCTCCTTGGAGCAGAGAAGGTTAAGAGGAGACTTAATAGAAGTTTTCTAAATTATGAGGGGATTCGATAGGGTGAACAAGGAGAAACTATTTCCACTGACAGGAGGGTTGGTAACCAGAGGACAACAATTTAAAATAGTTGTTAAAAGAAACAGAGGGGAGGTGAGGAGAAATGTTTTCACACAGCGAGTTGTTCAGATCTGGAATGCATTGCCTGAAAGGCTGGTGGAAGCCGATTCGATAACAACATTTAAGAGAGAAATAGATAAATATTTGGGGAGGACAAGTTTGCAGGGCTATGGGGAGAGAGCGGGGGAGTGGGATTGATTTGGATAGCTCTTTTCAAAGAGCCGGCACAGACATGATGGGCCGAATGGCCTCCTTCTGTGCTGTATAATTCTATGATTTTATGATAAGATGGTGGAATAGCCTAGCCTGGCTCAGCATTTCTACGTTTCTATAAGGTAACAGTTTGATTTTACTTATTAACGTTTGAGTTTTGCTTATGGAATCTGTTTGCAGTTTGAGCTTCAGAGAGAACAGCATGCATATCGGCAATACCTGGCCCGGCAGGTGGAGGAACAGAAACTCCAAGAGAAGGAGATGGATCAGCTGATTGAGGCTGACCTCCAGAAGGCCCTAGCCAAACGCCTTGAAGAACTGAAGATGAAGAAAGGGGCTCGAGACCGGCTCCTAAAAGAGGTCATGGCGGCCCGCAAGCTTCAAGTCCAACAGAAACGTAAGAGTGTCTTAGAATTACATCTTTTGCTCTTGCCTGTGCCTAATACTCTCCGGAATAGAGGCAGCAACTTGCATTTATATAGTGCACCTCACACAGGGTAGAGCCTCAGAGCACTTGACAGTAGTGAGGATAGTGCATATACAGTAATAATAATAATCCTTGCATTTGATATAGCGTCTTATCACATCTTTGAGAAGTCTCAAAGCACTTCACAGATGGAACTCCATCCCCCAGTGCCTTCGCCTTGCTTCCTCCCTTTCCTCCTTCAAGGCCGGTCTCAAAACCTTTCTCTTTGACCGTGCCTTCAGTCCCCTCTCGACTCTCTTCCCCCTCCTCGCTCCCTCCCTTCCCTCCCTCACCCTGACCATTTCCCCCTCCTTGCTCCCTCCCTTCCCCTCACCCTGACCATTTCCCCCCTCCTCGCTCCCTCCCTTCCCTCCCCTCACCCTGACCATTTCCCCCCTGCTCGGGTCATGACCCAACTGTGCAGCGCCTTGGGACGTCCTCCTGACGTGAAAGGCGCTTTATAAATGGAATCTTGTTGTTGTTGTTGTTGTTGATGTCACATACATCCTGTAAAATAAAAACCTAAATGGGGTAGAGGACCAAAGGGACCGAGGGGTACACATACACAATTCACTATAAGGAGCAAAGCAGGTTAATAAGGCCATTAAAAAAAGCGAACCAGGCATTCCAGTTCATTTCTAGAGGAATATAAATGAAAAGTAGGGAAGTTATGGTAAACTTCTATAGAACCTGGGTTAGACCAGACTTAGAATACCGTGTGCAGTTCTGGTCCCCACATTATAGAAGGGATGTAGAGGCACTGAAGAGGGTGCAAAGGAGATTCACAAGGATGATCCCAGAACTGAGAGGCTATACCTATCAGGAAAGGCTGAACATGCTTGGACTCTTTTGTCTTGAAAGGCGGAGGGTAAGAGGTGACCTGATAGAGGTCTTAAAACGATGAAAGGTTTTGATAGGGTAGACATAAGGAAGATGATTCCAATTGTGGGGGAGATCAAAACCAGGGGCCATCAAAGTAAAATAGTCACAAATAGATCAAATAGGGAAGTTAGAAGAAGGTGAATTGACTGTATTTTGTGGGTAAAATACAGCAGCCAATTGCCCACAGCAATGTCCCACAAACAGTCATGGGTGACTAATTTATTATTTGAACTTTGACGTGAAAAGCACCATGTAAATGTAAGGTGTCTTACATTCTCTTTGACCGAGCCTTCAGCTCCCCTCTCGACTCTCTTCCCCCTCCTCGCTCCCTCCCTTCCCTCCCCTCACCCTGACCATTTCCCCTCTCCTCGCTCCCTCCCTTCCCTCCCCTCACCCTGACCATTTCCCCCCAATGCTCGGGTCATGACCCAACTGTGCAGCGCCTTGGGACGTCCTCCTGACATGAAAGGCGCTTTATAAATGGAATCTTGTTGTTGTTGTCTTGCACATCAACAGACCATTCACTGTGCGTTTACAGGTTGTCGCAATAGCTGACTGTCCAACACCTTGAGACGTCCTTCTGACCAGTTCTGGCCCAATATCCTCACACTCGTGTTCAAATCCATTCACTCCCTGGCACCTCCATAACTCTCTGATCTCCTCAATGCCCAATCTACCAACTGAAGCCTCCGTTCCACTGGCACCAGCCTCCTGCTTGTCCCTCGCACCCTCCGCTCCACCATTGTAGGTTGCACTTTCAGCCACTATCCTCCGAAACTCTGGAACACTCTCCCTAAATCTCTCCGCCTTGCCCCCACTCTCCCCTTTTTCAAGTCCTTCCTTTTCAACTGTGCTTATGGTCACCCCCTGGCTCGGAGTCAGGCTCCACCACTGTTAAAACACTCTGAGACTCTACCCTGCGTGGAGGGCGCTATATAAAGCTGTTGTTGATGATGTGTGAGCTTTGGCAGTGAGTGTCGGCAGGCTACTCATCTGTAGAGGGTGCTACAGCCTAAATCCCCACCGGAAGAAACTCTGTTCTATTTCCATGTCCACCTGAACAGATACAGACAGAACCTTGCCTTAACACCTCATCCGAAGAACAGCGGAGCCCTTCCCTAGACTGTGAGCTCAAAGTCCTAATATGGGGCTGGAACTCACAACCCTCTGACTCAGAGATGAGAGTGCTCCTGACCGAGCCAGGCTACGTTAAGGTGTAAAAACTGGGAAGCGTTTGTCATCCCCGCAAAGCATTTTTGATCAGAATTATGCTTCTGTGCTTTTAGTGGAAGAAAATGCAAAGAAACAGGAGGAATTGGCGGAGGAGCAGGACAGGATCGCAAAGGTCGTCAAAGAAATGAAAGAATTAAACAATGAAAGGGAGCAAAGGTACGGATTTGTAAGACGTGCCCGGTTTCAACCATAACACACTCATCAAGCAGCCCGACCGTAATCTTCCATACAAAATATAGAGTCACTGCACTTTACAATATATTGTGGTGAAGTACTCTGAGACATCTCAATGAGATGATATGGCACTATATCAAATGCAAGCATTATTATTATTCCTCAGCCCGACAGAGTTTAAAAAATTCCCTAATCACATACTCTATTCGAATAGTGCACTAGCATCTTTAACATCTAACTGACAGGCAGGTGGGTCCTTGGCTTAACGTCTCATCTGAAGAATGGCATCCCCCAGTACTGCACTGCATCTTATTGTCTCCATGATCTTCTCCTACCTCACTGCCCTGCTCCGGTGATCAGGCCTTCAATTTCTACGCTCCCCACCTCTGGAACCCCTTGCCTTCTAACCTCTCCATCTCGCACCCTCCCATCCCCCTGCCCCTCTCTGTCTCTCTCTCTCTCTCGCTCTCTCTCTCTGGCTCTCTCTCTAACTCTAAGTCCCGTTTTAAAAACTTGCTTCTTCAACTGCCACTTCCCTTCTCTCCCGTTCCGTGCTCAGTGTCTGACAGCCCCACCCCCCCCCACCCCCAAAGCATTCCGAGACATTACCATGAAGTGTGCTATATCAGTGAATGTTATTGTAATTACAATATTCCGTGCAGCGCTTTGAGATGATGTTATAAGGCACTATGTCAAACGTAACGGTTATTTTATTGCTAATAGGAGTCCTGTAGTGTATTGGTTAGTGCTCTTGCCTCGTATGCAAGAAGACCCGGGTTCGATTCCCAGGCGGGCCACCAACTATACAGTCAATTCACTTTACAGTATATTCTGTGTAGCGCTTTGAGACGACCTGATAATAATAATCCTTGCATTTCATATCATAATAAGGAACTATATGAATTTCACTGATAATTTTATTGCTAATATAAACAGTCATTTGCACACCAATGACCTTGGTGGCCATACTGACCTCCCGAGTCACTAAAATCCACTCTCTCCTTGGCTGCAGAGTCAGGAAGATCAACAAGGACCTCCAGCAGGACCTTGCTGATCAGATCGAGTACCAGCAGCGGATTCGGGAGGCGGAGAAAGTGGAGGAGCAGACGAGGGCCGACATTATGAAGATGGAGGAAAAGAATTACCAGAAGAAAGTACAAGATGCCATCTCACAGTCTGGCGTTGAATCCGACAAGTCACATCCCTGGAAAAAGTACTGCAAGGTCCACAAGGACGTGGAGTGTTAGAACCACAGATCACTACACTGTAGACGCTGACATGAAGAATGAACGTAACATCAAATGATCTAGATTTTATCTATTGTCTGAAAGTATACAGTATTTTATAATTCAACAGTGTCTTATGATGTGTTTTACTTTTTTGTTTGTTTAAGATGGATTTAAACCTGTTGATTTGAAAAGACTCTCGCGCACGTGTGTGTATTTTTCCCTTGTGTTGGCTTTGGTTTCTTTCTTCTTGCTATACCATCCTCCAAGGCAATTCAATGCAACCTGTTGCAGATCATAACACAGGTCATAGACTCATAGAATTATACAGCACAGGAACAGGTCGTCTGGCCCATCAACTCTGAGCCAGTGTTTTTCTCCCATATAAGGACCTAGTCTACCAAATACATCGTTGCCTACAAAATACGCAGTCACTGTGCTTTACAGTAAATCTTGTGAAGTGCTTTAAGACATCCTCCTGACACAAAAGGCACTGTATCAAATGTGAGGCTTATTTTTTTATTAGTCTAATTCCATGTTCTTCCATGTTCCTCCATAACCTTCCATTTCAAGAATCTATGCAACTCCCTCTTAAAGTAATTTATGCCTCAACAACACGTTAAGCAGCGATCTCCATGCACTCACTGCCCACTGTGAGAATAGTTTCTAATCTCCCACCCTTTTAATACTTTCTATGGTTATCTTAAATATGTTTAGTGTTAAAACTGACTCACTGACAAGTGGAAACAATCCATCACAATTTCCTGTAAGAATCTGTTGCTCTCCGTAGGGACTTCATTATCCGGGAGAGCCCCATCAGGTCACCTTTTCCATTCCCCAGACCTGAGGAACATAGGAACAGGAGTAAGCCATTAAGCCCTTCAAGACTGTTACACCACTCTGTTAGATCACAGCTGATCTGTACCTCAGCTCCATTTACCCATCTTTCCTCGATATCCCTTCATACGCTTACCTAAACCTATCTATCAACCTCAGCCTTGAAAATTCTAACTGGCCCAACGTCCACAGCCTTTAGGGGGAGAGTTTTGTATTCTTTGTGTGTAAAACTACTTCCTGATTTCACTCCTAGATGCCTTAGCTCCAATTTTAAGATGATGCCCCCCTTGTTTAGAGGAAACAGTTTCACAGTATCTACCCTACTGAGTCTCTTTATCATTTTAAGCACAGAGTGGCCCAAGGATGGCATGATTTTGGTGATTAGAGGTGAGGAGATTGTGCTCAGGTGTTTTCAAACCCTTCTGATCTAATGTCCCTTCCTTATGGAATAAATTGTTGGTTGATTTGTAAACATAAATTGTGCGTTTAAATCATGGAGTCCTGTAGCAAAGTGGTTAGCGCGCTCACCTAGCAAGCGAGAGGACCCAGGTTTGATTCCCGGGCAGGGTGAGATTAGATTAGATTGGTGGATCACTTTGCTGGGGGTAATAATTCCCTTAAAATTAATAATAATAATTTTGTCACTCAATCCATGACTGTTTGTGGGACATTGCTATGCAGTCAATCCAGTCAATATGTCTTGTGAAGCCCTTTGAGACGTCTAAACAACATTATAAGGATGTCCTGTAGCTCAGTGGTTAGAGCATTCGCTTTGTAAGCGAGACACCTGGGTTCAATTCCAGGCAGAGGGCGAAACCTCGGGCAAGTTTCCTTACTCCACACACCTGATAATAATCCCTCCAAAACAAAACAATAATAAATTGGTCATTTTCAATCTACGACTGTTTGTGGGACGCTGCTGTGCGCAATTGGCTGCCGCGTTCGCCCACAAATATACGGTCAATTCACTTTACAGTATATTCCGTGAAGCGCTTTGAGACGTCGAGAAGACGTGAGAAGCGCTATATCAAATGCACGGATTATTATTATTATAAGGATCATTATTATCAAATGCAAGGATTATTAAAATTAAATTGGAATTTAAATGAAGGTGTTTCAAAAAAGGAGGGGAGAGAACGAGGTATGTAATGTGACACTACACGTGTTACATGTCTTAAGTGGTGATCATGATCACATGTGGTATGTGTCACGTATTTGGTGATAACTATATGTTACATGTTGTATGATGATTACATGTTAGCTCAGCAAACACAGGCCAACAGCACGTCCTACAGCATCTTTCAGTTATCTTGCTTCCAACCTGTAGAGCCTCTGCCTCTACCCCCTTTGGGGTAAGATGGATGGTTGAGGCTAGAAGTTATTTAACAACTCATGTTCATGTGGACCACCTATTTCAAATGGGGAAATTTTAAAAACCTCTATCATGTCACCTTTGCTTTACAGGTAAAACAGCCCAAGTTCCTTTTGCTTGCATTGAGGTCAGCCAATACACACAGCAGTGCCCCACAAATAATCGCGGATTGAGTGACCACATTTTTTTTTGGAGGGATTATTACCCCCGGGCTTCACAAGACATATTGACTGGATTGACTGCACAGCAATGTCCCACAAACAGTCACAAACTAACAAGCGGGTTCCTACTTACTGCTAGATAAACAGAGGCGTGTGAAGTAAGGAAATTCGTCTTAGGTTTCGTTCCACCCGTAAATTCAACCCAGGTCCTCTGAGATGTCAAAATGTTTCATAGACTACAGAGGCAATTGGACCATATTGATCATTTCTTATCTGGCCCAGATGGCAAGACGGGACTGGAGCCTTAGATATCCATTAGAGTATTTGATCATCTGTGACTGTAGTTTGCTGTAATTTTCAATCCCTTTTCTGTCTGTGTAAATCACAGATTAGTGTCTCAGGAAAGTGGCACACAGATTAATATTCAAAATCTAGGGTGGATTTCGTCTGACCATAATCATTAAAAAAAAGGAAATCCTTGCATTTGATACAGTGTCTTATCACATCTTTGAGACGTCACAAAGGGTTTCATAAAATATACTATAAAGTGAATTGACTATATATTTTGTGGGCAAAACGCACAAATAATAATAATCCTTACATTTGATACAACAGTGCCTTATCACATCTTCAAGACGTCTCCAGTTTGAATTTTGTCTGACCGCAATCATTAAAAAAAAGTCAACTGTGCACAGCACTGTAAGTAGGAACCTGGTTGTTAGTCAATCTGGGGTAATAAACCCTTACTCCACACGCCTCCGGTTATCTAGCAGTACGTAGGAATCCGGTTGTCAGTCAATTGGCGAATCACTTAATACCTTCAAAAAAATAGTCCCTTCAAGAAAAATAATAATTTGGTCACTCAATCCCTGATTGTTTGCGGGACACTGATATGCGCAATTGGCTACCAATTGCCAATTTCAGCGCCTCGTATTCTCGTTGATGTTGTTGCCACGAATCGCCCACAAAATATAGTCAACTCACTTAACAATATATTCTATGACGCGCTTTGAGACGTCTCGAAGACATGATAAAGCGTTATATCAAATTTAGGATTATTATTTATCATACATTTCGTGAAGCGCTTTGAGAAGTCGGGTAATGGAGTGTGACCATAAACCCTACCCAAGAAGAACTTGCATTTTTAATTGCTCCTTACACGTCGGATTTTGGTGGAAATTACCCAAAATTGGTAAACCTTGATATTCAGAAAGTTTTGCGACGTTTCGCAATCTGACAAAATCAAACTTTCAGTGAAAAGAAAATCAAATGATATTACTTCCTATACACTGAACGGGCACATTGCACAGAGTGACATCTACGGCAATCGAATGAGTCAGGGATCGGCCATTTTGTAGTTGAAAACTTCGAATGGGAAAGAAATGAATTAAAAGTCAAATTTTATCCATTGAAAATGAAACCCAGTCAGCGGGAAAAATGAGTCAAGCGGATTCAGGAGGGAAGTGGGGCGAGAGAATCGGTGGCGAGAAAACAAAATCATTTAAATTGCAAGTGCATTCAGTGTTAAACGATGACGTAAGTAAAGAAACTTGTTAAAGGTTACGGAGCGAGAGAGTGGAAGGGAGTGGAAGGGAGTCAGAGGACTTGCTCAATGGTTTTGTCCATAAGATACAGATAGTCACATCAGTTCATAGTATATCTATGGCTTCTGATTTTCGGTTTTAATTTTATATATGTTGTGAAACGATTTGAGACGCCTCAACGATGTCTATTATTATAGGATTATTATTACTATACTCTGTGATGCGCTTTGAAACATCTCAATGAACTGGTGCTATATCATATGCAAGGATTATTATTATTAGAATGAGGTGGTATAACAGCGAAAATAGGGTGTTTGAAGGTTTAAAGGATCTTTGGCTGTTTCAGCTGCGTGTGTTAATTGTACATCCTCAACCCACAGAGCTCAGCACCTCCTCCTAAACCATTCATCTCACCAGCACTCCCCATTTTCAACTACAAAGCTACAATTGAGTGAATCCACGTTCTCAGTTCCTGAGCCAGGTGGGTCTGCAGTACCCTAGGACATTGCTGAAGACAACACAGCCCAGACCGGCTCACGCAGGACCTGGAAGGGCAGATCCAATCACCGGGGACTGGGAATCTTCCCACTCAGCTTCTGGGAACCCCACAAACCAAAGCCCTAATGGCTCGGATGGTCTTAGCTGGACAAACATCGGAAAAGTTTGCCAGATCTTGACATGTGATGTTAGCTGGTTAGCTTCCAGCAGGGGCCCCAATACAAGAATTTCTCCAGTCTTCCCACTATATAGACATCATGGAAACAGACCATCCGGCCCCACAGGTGTGTGTGTTTACACTCTAGATGAGTCTCCACCACAATCTATCTCTGGGATTTCCATGTGTAGGTGGGATGCATGGAATTCTCAGTTGGTTTGGATAATATTAAGCAACGGTGATGGGTTTCCGCATGTGTAAGATACCCATTGCCTCTCCCTCTCCCCCCACCCCAAAAAAAAAATCCTAAATGGATCTCTCGATTTGTTTCTATTGGAATCAGTCAAGCATAGTTAAGCCTATCTCATGCATCAAACATCACTGCACTTCAAAAGCTATTACATTGCGCAAAGAAATGGAATGGGTGAGGCCGAGTGCACAAGAGCATTGATTTCTGTGTCATGTTATTAGGCAGGTTACAAGCTGATCAGCCAATCAGTTGGTAGCACACTCACCTCTGGGTCATAAGGTTGTGGGTTCAAGCCCCACCCTGGCGCTTGAGCTCACACCCAAGGCTGGGGAGAAGGGGGGGGGGCAGGTGTCCTCTGTATTGTGGGAAGTACCACCCTTCACATAAAATTTGATTTGCAGGCAGGATGCAGCCTTAGGTAAGTTTCCTTACTCTCCACACCTCTACCTTGCAAGCGAGTAGGAACCTGGACTTTAATGGATTGACGGATTACTTTCTGAGGGTAATCATCACTTAATAAAAATCATAATAATTCAAGATCACCCATTCCAAGACTGTTTTGGGGGGAATTGTTGGCCAGGGCAAGGGGACAGGAAACTCCCTTCCCCTTTTCAAATAGAGCCACAGGATCTTTAACATCCACCCGAACAGGCAGACAGCACCTCGGATTAACGTCTCGTCTGACGGACGGCACTTGCCACAGCACAGCAGACCCCTGATCACATCGTTGAGACATCTCAAAGCTCTTCACAGGATATATTTTAAAGCGAATTGACTGTATTTTGTGGGGGAAACGCGGCAGCCAATCGTGGACAGCAGCGTCCCACACACAGTCGCGGATTGAGTGACCAAATTATTATTATTATTTATCTACTTTGAAAGGATTATTAACCCCGGTTAGCGAACCGCCGATCGATCGACCGACCCAGTTCCTCTATATTTAATGAAGCGATGCCGTTTACCTCGCAGCAAGAAAGAACCCTACGTGTCAGTGGATCGTTTTCTGGTGGCAATAATCCATCCCCCCCCAAAAAAAATCCGTCACTTCAACCCACGACCGTTTGGGGGTGTGGGGGGGTGGGGGGAGACACTGCCGTGCGCCATTTGGCGGCCCGCGTCTCGCCCCCCCAAAATATCGCTCAGCTTGCCGCACGGCCCGCGAAGTCGCTTCGAGGCGTCTTCGAAGGTCAAATGCAAGGGTTGGTGTAATTATTAGTGGTAAAGGTGAGGAGATGTTTCCTCACACCTGTCCCTCTCTCTCTCTCTCTCTTTCCTCACAGGTGAATGTGACTCTGATGATAAACATGAAGCGGAAGTCACCAGCAGATGGCAAAGTCTCCACAGCCTCTCAGGTTCAGGCTGTTTTTTTTTGCTGTTGAGGTGAGACACCAACAGGAGACATAGAAGTGGGAGCACCTGCTCTGTCTCGGACACATCTGGCGCCTGGGGGACCAGCTGTAAAGTTTATTTAAATCCAAAGGAAAGCATCACAGACCCTCCACCTTTCCCGGGACCCCCCAACACCATCGCCAACGAGGAACCCCGGTTTAACAGGAGCAGCGACCGGGGCGCGGATCGGGGGAGGTTCTCCCACAGGGAACTTTCTACCTGAGTAAAGGTCGCCGTGAGAGAGAGAGAGAAAGAGAGAGAGAGGAATTCGCTTCCAACTGGGAGAAAAATGGCGACCAGGGAAACATTTATTCCTCGACGTCCAGAAGCGGTGGAGATGGAGAATTAAGGTCTCTCTCTCTCTCTCTCTCTGTGTGAGTGTCTGTGTGTGTGTGTCTGTGTGTGTGTCTCTCTCTCTGTGTGTCTCTCTCTGTGTGTCTCTCTCTCTGTGTCTCTGTGTGTGTGTCTGTCTGTGTGTGTGTGTGTGTCTCTGTGTCTGTGTGTGTCTCTGTGTGTGTGTGTCTCTGTGTCTGTGTGTGTCTCTGTGTGTGTGTGTCTCTGTGTGTGTGTGTCTCTCTCTCTCCCTCTCTCTGCCCGATGCACACAGGAGCCCCCGAGTTGTGGTCGGTCTCAGGCGCCTGTGAGAGGAGAACACCATGTCAACTTCAGAACTTTACAGCCAGGTGAGTGGGGAGTGGGTGAGTGGGTGAGTGGGGAGGTGAGTGGGGAGAGGGTGAGTGGGGAGTGGGTGAGAGGAGTGGGTGAGTTGGGGAGTGGGTGAGAGGAGTGGGGAGTGGTGAGAGGAGTGGGTGAGTGGGGAAGTGGGTGAGAGGAGTGGGGAGTGGGTGAGTGACGTCAGTGAGTGGCCGCGGCGCTACATTGTAGCCATTGCGACAACAACAAACAAACAAACAAACGGCAACATTGTAGCCGCCGCGACGAAACGGCAACAATTGTAACAAAACCTCTCGGCGATTGTTCCCGGTGTCGCCGCGTTCCAATTCGATTGTATCCGCAAACCATCACTTGTTACACTGCCCGACATCAACCCCCCCCTCTCCCCCCCCCTCCCCCTCTCACCCCTCCCCCACTCCCCTCTCACCCCTCCCCCCTCCCCCTCCCACCCTCTCCTCACACCTCTCCCTCCACCCTCTCCCCCCCCTCTCCCTCCCACCCTCTCCTCACACCCTCTCCCTCCCACCCTCTCCTCACACCCTCTCCCCCTCTCCCACCCTCTCCTCCACCCTCTCCCCCTCCACCCTCTCCTCACACCTCTCCCCCCCTCTCCCCCTCTCCTCACACCTCTCCCCCTCCCACCCTCTCCTCACACCCTCTCCCCTCCACCCTCTCCCCCTCCCCCCCCCACTCCCTCCCACCCTCTCCCCCCCCTCCCCCCACCCTCTCCTCACACCTCTCCCCCCTCCCACCCTCTCCTCACACCCTCTCCCCCTCCCACCCTCTCCTCACACCCTCTCCTCACACCCTCTCCTCACACCCTCTCCCCCTCCCACCCTCTCCTCACACTCTCCCCCCACTCCCCTCCCTCCCACTCTTACCTCACACCCTCTCCTCCCCCTCCTATTTCCCCTCCCTCCCACTCCCCCCAGCCTCTCCTCACACCCTCCCCCCCCACTCCCCCCTCTCTCTCCCCCCTACGCCCCCCTCTCTCTCCCCCTCTCTCTCCCCTCCCACTCCCTCCCCTCTCCCCCGCCTTTCTCTCCCACTCCCTTTCTCCCACTCCCCCCCTCTCTCCCCCCCTCCCACTCCCCCCTTCTCCCACTCTCCCCCACGCCCCACTCCTCTCCCACTCCTCTCCCCCCCCCACACCCCCCTCCCCCTCCTCACCCTTTTCCTGTTGTCATCTACCGCTCCCCCACCCCCCCCAAAAAAATAATAAGAAGCCACTGTTTTAATCATCATCTTCATCATCATCAACGCCACACTAATAATTATCCTCGCATTGGCACAGCGTCTTTTCACGACCCCTCGAGACGTCTCAAAGCGCTTCCCAAGCGAATATGCTGTCAATTTTGGGGATAAATATCATATATATTTATACTATGTTATGTAATATACGGTAAAGTGGATTGACTTTGTGTTTTGTGGGCGAAACGCGGCTCCCAATTGCGCACAGCGGTGTCCCATTGCTCTCTGTGTCTCTGTCTGTCCCATCTCCTCTCTCTACCCCCTATTACCCCCCACCCCCCCCCCGACAACACAACTAACCAAAAATTGAGCTTTTTGTTTCTTTGCCATCGCTTTGGTTTTGGTTGTTTTTAATATATATTTTTTTTAAAAAAACACCAAAATCAGATTTTTTTTAGAAAAAAAAGACCTCGGATTGGCGACTCGATTCAGTTCAAGTCAAATTGTAAATACAGCGATTAGTTTTTATATATAAAATATGATTAACCGCTTCTCGGATCAGATGAGTCTTGTGGCACAGGGAACAAACAGGTGGACAGTTTTGGGGAGGAAAGTAAGAGACGGGGAGGGAAAGATATATAAAAATTAGATTTTCGTTTGAAAAGCAAAAAAAAATCACTTTTTTTAAGTGATTTACACCTGAGATTCCACATTTTTGAATGAGTTGAGACCTAATAATGCTGTAAATGGGACAGAGAGAGAGAGAGCCTTTCTGATGTTGACAGAGGAATGGGGGGAGGAGAGAAACAAACAATGATATTACAGTATGAATGTGACTTGTTTGGTTTCGGTCAGTGATGACAGTATCTCGTAGCTGATGTCAGAGATTTTACATTTTGTTCCGCCTTCTGTGAGCCGTGCGTCTGTCTCTCTCGCAAGTTTCGACAGAACCAGTTCCTGTGTTGTAAAGTAATCAAATCAGTGTTTTCCACTCCCTTCCCCCTCTCTCTCTTTCTCTCTCCCTCTCTGTCTCCCTCCCCCTCCACCCTTACTACAATAACAACACAAAAAGTGTCACCTGCCTCCCAACGCCCCCCAACTCCCCCCAACTTTCCACAGCGCCTTTCACGTTGGGAGGACATCCCAAGGCGATGGGACAGGCTGGGATTTGGATCCGAGCTGGGGGTTGGGATTGGGTCGGGGGGGTGGAGGGCAGGGAGGGTGGGGGTAGGAGGGTGACCGAGGGCGATGTAAAAAAGGAGGGTCTTGAGACGGGCCTTGGAGACGAGGGAGGGAGTGAAGAGAAGGGACTGTGGGATGTAGTTCCAAAGGGTGGGGACAGAGAGGGTGAAGTCCTGACCGTCAAAGGTTGTAAATATTACATATATTATATATTTATAAATATAATGTATTGTTTGTAATTTAGAACACGCGCACAGAACGCATTTAAGTAATTAGGGGACAGTAATTTAATACAATTACTTGTTGTCGATCGTATAGAAATCAACATCACAGAAAGAGGCCATTCGGCCCATCCTTCTGGGCCAATGCTGAGAAAAATAACATTTATTACAAAAAAGTATTACAAAAAATGTGAAAACCCAGTTCTCTCCCACAAAATAGTTCACTTAATATATTCTGTGAAGCGCTTTGAGACATCTCAACAACATGATCAGGATTATTATCATTATTATTCTCTCCCTATAATATATTCACTGAACAGGCGTTTATCTAGTGTGGTTTTGAATGATCTGTTGATACAATCTTTGTGGTGACCAGTTCCACACCCTGACAACCCTCTGAATGAAGCAATTCTTTGTAACTTCTGCCCTAATATTTCTGTCTTTTCCTGATTACAATCCTAAAATGGAGGCAATGCTCTTGTGCATTTCATGCTGAGCTGTGTTGCTCATCTGATAGTCTGATATTAGCAGTAACACTTCTATATAGTCTGATAAGCAGTTGCGTCCCTCTGGGGAGAGCGTGAGCACATCGTAAATAATCAATCCTTTCCTTTCATGTTGCTCTCAAAGTGATTTGCAGTGCAGTGACTATATATTCTGGGTCAGTGGTGGCCAACCTTTATGAAGAGGTTTATGGTTGGCTACCACTCACCTGGAATATACAGTGACCAAACATTATGGTTGGGCAACAAGATCAATTTTCTGGATTGAACATCTCTTGAGTTATGCCATAAATCAAGAAATATTCCATCAAAGAAAAACTGAAAATAACCGATCCAAGACGGACCCATAAAAAGCACCTTAACGATGGATGGTACGTCGCTCGTCAGCATCTTCGACAGCGCAGCGTGGAGACTTAGCTGAAGATGTAATTTTTGGCAATCTGTTAATTATCACATCACATGGCTCATTTTTTTCATCCACTCAATACCAGAATCGTAGCAAATAGGTACGTTATAATAGCAATAATAATATTCCTTGCATTTGTTGGGGCTTCACACAGTCCTGTAAAGTGGAAGGACTGTGTATTTTTGTGGGCGAAACACCGGCAGCCAATCGCACAATTGAGTGTCCATTTTTAATCCCTTTAAAAAATGTTTTAAAGTAATTATTACCCTTGGAGAGCGATCCGCCAATCGACTAAGAACAGAGGTGTGTGGAGTAAGGAAACTTGCCAAAGGTTTTGCCCCCAACCTCAACCTCCCGGAATTGAACCGGGGGTCCTCTCGCTCGAAGGCTAACCAACTGCTCTACGGGACTCCACATTTAGCTCGGACTGGAGAAATTGAGACTCTTCCTTCTTAGCTGTTTGCTGAGTCAGCTGTTTGGGAGCCTGGGTGGGAGGGTGTGGGGTGGGTGGGGGTTCTGCAAATTGCTGCAAATAACAGATTGCTACAAGTTTTTGTATGTTCTCAGCGGAACGGAGATTTGCGAGGTTGTGATTTCAATGTTACAGTATAACCCAATGCTGAGCTGTGCGCGAGGCCGTCTGGTACCTGGAAAGGACTGATTACTTTAAAGTGCAACACTCAAATCCGCAGCATCGCAACGCTATAGTATAACAGTAATCTTCGCAATTGATACAGCGCTTTATCACATCGGTGAGGGGTCTCAAATCTCTTCACAGGACATACTGGAAAATATTGTAGAATCCTACAGCACAGAAGGAAGACATTCGGTCCATTGAAAGAGCTATCCTACTAGTCCCACTCCCCCGCTCTTAGCCCCTAAGCCATACAAATATTTCCTTTTCAAGTACATATTCAGTTCCCTTTTGAAAGCTGTTAACAAATCTGATTCCATCACTCTTTCAGGCAGGGCATTCCAGACCGTAACAGCTCTCTGGGCTCTCTTTCTCCACATAATAATAATCCTTGCATTTGATATAGCGCTTTTCACATCTGGAGGACGTCCCAAAGCGCTTCACAGAACACACTGTAAAGTGAATTGACTGTATATTGAGCGGCAGCCAATTGCGCACAGCAATGTCCCACAAACAGTCGTAGATTGAAAATGACCAATTTATTATTTTTTTTGGTTTTGGAGGGATTATTATTAGGCTCTGTGTGGAGTAAGGAAACTTGCCCAAGGTTTCGCCCTAACCTGCCGGGGATTGAACTCAGGTCTCTCGCTTGCAAAGCGAGTGCTCGAAACACTGAGCTACAGGACTCCACACCTGTTTACCTAACAGTAAATAAAAACCCCGTTGTTAGTCAATTGGCAGATCGCTTTCCGGGGTTAATAATCCCTCCCCTATCCCCCAACCCCCCCTCCCCGCCCTCCAAAAATATGGTCATTCAATCCAGAATTGTTTGGTTCAGTGACGTTGTCATCATGGAGCCTCTCCCAGTAAC